CAAATTTCGGGAAGTCAGTGGTGGCAGCGTTTAGGCATCGGTGTGGTGGAGTGGGGGGCGGGGCGGGGGGCTCCCGCAGGGGACGTGCTGCATCGGGGGAGGCAGGCAGGATGCTGAACGTCCCTTTCTGTCGGTCTCCTTCCCAGACCATCCCCGGAGTGGCAAGTCCAGTGGCTGGAGCAGCGATGAGAAGCGAGGCTCATCGCGTTCTGAGCACAACGCCGGTACCAGTGCGAAGAGTCTCCTCCCGAAAGAGTCTCGGCTGGACACCTTCTGGGACTAGGGACAAGTTGCGACACAAGCCATCCACCCCTGGGAGGAAAAAAAAAACCGACCCCAGGAAAACAGGAAACCGCAAGGAAACGTGAGGCGGGAGAACCGCCCGCCGTCAGACTGGAGAATTACAAACGTTCGGACTCGGCCTTTGCACGGAAAGGCACCCACACTACACAGCACGTCCAGCATTAGCTTCGACTGAGGACCGTTCGACCCCCATGAAACTACGCGTTAGATGTAAATAATGTACAATTTGTGGATGTCATCGAACTTAGAGTACCCTCCCCTTTTTATATTTGTATTGACTTTAACTTATAAAAAAAAAAAAGAGAAAGAAAAGCAATTAAAAAAACCCCAACAACAAAAAGAATGTTTTGATGTTGGAGAGGGTTGGTCCATCAGCCCATCTGTCACACACGATGGTATGGGGACTGGGCCCGGGAACGGCTGCCACACGCAGGTCCTCATCCCGGGGTGCCCAGGGGAACACAAGCCGTTGTCATCTGGACATCTAGACACAGGACACTGGGAATTATCAGCTTCGACGACGTTATGGGTACGTCACATCGCACCGTTGTTGGCCCCTTTCAAATACTACGTTACTATGTTACCAGATGCAAGCTCTCTGGACCAGAAGGACACATGGAGAGGCTAGTTTATTTTATGTGATTTCAGTGGTGACTCTACTCATCAAAGGGAAAACGTGTAATGTTCTCGTTTACAGAAGAGAAGCAGCAACAAGCCCCGTTCCGCTCGATCGCAGGAAGAGACGAACGCAGGAAGCGTTCGGCGGCGTCAGCTCTGAAACAGGAAGCTTTGCTTCGCGATTCCCTTAAACACACTCACACACACCTGACGAGAGAGACTGTGCTTCTCGGAAGCAAGAACTCGGAGGCAAGACGCACGCAGAGGACTTTTGAGTCTGGGATGAAGCATGTCTGTAGTATTTATATGATGATGGAATTTTATGTTTTTATGTAAGCATGAAGCAAAGGCAGTGCGAGAGAAAAAGACACCCGCCATGCTGTCTGTTACACTACGTATGCTGTAGTAACATTTCGTGTAAAAGAAAAAGCATTGAACAAAGCAAAAGGTGATGTATGTATATGAGGAAATTAATTGTACGATATCATTCCAGTACATTTTGTTGTACATTTTAGTCTCGTTTACTTTCTCTTCATTGTTGATAAGAGGATGCGAACTGTACAGTTTCCAGCTAGTTACCCATATTAGAGAAGAAATAAAAAGAGTATTAGGAGAAAACAGAAGAGAACATTTGTGAATTGCAGTTGTCAAAAAAAAAAAAAAAATAGCCTAGCTGGCCTTATTTGTGAAGCATAATTGCTTTTAGCATATGGAAGTATTTTTTCACATTTTCTTTGTATAAAATTTGTATTAAACTTAAATATCTTTTTTGATGACGGTGTTTCTTTGTGACTGAGCCAGTAGACTCACACGGTATGCTCTTTTGGGTTCCTCCCTTCCCCCCAATTTTTTCAGATTCTTCGCCTTTTTTTAATTAAACTGTTTTTGGAAAAATGGCTTGGTCGTCCTCGAATTTGCAGTTTTCCATTTGGTCGGGATGGCCGTGTCAGGTTTGCTTGACCGAGGCCGTGAGAGGCACGTCTCCACAGGTGGTGGACGCATTACGGAGAAGGGCGCCCCCCGATAGGTGCTTTCCGGGGAAGTCCAGACCCTTGCAATTTTTTGACAGATGTGAAACAGAGGGGAGGTCCTGGGTCAGTCTTTAGAAAAACAGTGGGAGGGGAGCGAATTGTCCTTCCATGGCCAAGACGAAGGCCTGAGCTGATAGTCGAGTGGGCAACACGTGACTTGAGCGCTGCCCAGGCACACCCTGGTCATTTAACGTGTCACAGAAATGATCTTTTTCCAACCATTTAAAAAGTCTCAGTTCATGGGCTGTGCCAAAGCAGAGAATGAGCTGGCTTTGGCTCACAGGCCCTCTGCTGGACCGTGAAGGGGACGAAATGGGGACGGTGTAGAGCAGGACCAAGGGCGAAGGCGGCTGTGCTAGCTGGGACCATGTAGAGGCCTCTCTTAGGAGGGGACAGTTGACCAGAGACTTGAATGAAGAGCCGGCTGTGGGAAGATAAAGTGGGTGAGCGGCCCAGAAGTGACCAGCAAGTGCACAGGAGCCAGGGCGCGTGTGAGCTTGACATTCTTCACGAACAGCAGGAAGACTGGTGTGGCTTAGAGGAGCGGGCGGGGCAGGAAGGACAATGTCTGTTCCAGAGTCGGTGGTCTGAGGTGGTGTGAGGCTCTCACAGGGCGGGCGGGCTGTGGTTTTCCCCTTGATCCGCAAAAAGGGGTGTTGGCCACTCTGATGTGATCTCCCCCCGGCCATTTTGGAAACAGGTCCCAAACGTGACTAGCTCAAGGCCACAGAACGAGTGAAAGATTCTAACTGGACTCCTAGTTAACTACTCATTCCAGTAGATGGGGCATTCTTTGCCGTTTTTTAAGTTAAAAAAAGGTTATCTTCTATAGGGCACGTATGTGCACCTTCCCTGTATTTATCCTGGAGACCACAGAGTGGGGGGTAGACACAGCTCATTCTAGGGGAAGAAGGCGAGGCTGACGGGGGGAGCGTGGCCACTCCACTGTCGCCTTTCAGCTCCAACAAGCCAGGCCCTTTCTCGTCTGTGGGCCCTTGCACCTGCTGTTCCCTGGGCCTTGCACACCCTTCTGTGGTTGTCTTTCAGATGCCCCTCCGTAGTCACTCCCTGACTCCCACCCCTCATTATCCTCCGTCTCACTGCTGTGTCTCCAGGGCTTGGCTGGGCTGCTGCTGCTGCTGCTGATGTTGATGGAGGCCACACGACTCCTAGGTGATGGGCAGCGTTTAAACACAGGCAGCCTCAGCATTCCTCCCCTGAGGTAAACCTGGCACCACCACCACCGCCCCCGCCCCCGATTCCCTCCCTTCCTTTCCCAGGTGCAACTTCCCGTAGAAAAAAGGACAGCTCAGGAAGAAGCAGCTTACTTGGTGGTAGAGAAATGGTCTCTTTAATAAAGATGTTGAATTTTAACTTTTACTATATACAGACACACGTCTCAAATGTGGAAAGATTGAGAAGGCCCCTGTATTTGGTCCCTCCCCAGCCCCCCAGTTCCCTTCCCGTGCATCCTTCGGTTTGCATTTACAGACCAAGGCAGAGGACGGTTCCTCTCTCCCTCTTATACAGAAATGGCTGCATTTGATACACACTCTTCTGTCCTTTCTTCCTTAACCCGAAGCCTGGGGTGTTCCGTGTTGGTACGGGTCCAGCGCTGCTCCGTGCCTCTGCGGTGGGTGGGCCTGGAACGTGGAAGAGGAGACGGTGCCTGTCACAGCCCTCAGTTGGTCTCTGAACACGGGCAGGGCCAAAGTCATGAGCTGTGTGAGGGGGGCCCGTGCAACTCGTCTCAAGTGGCTGCACCTTTAGAGGGTCAATGAGTGGCCAGACAAGAGGGGAGGGACTTGGAAGTGTGGGGCGTTCTTCTTCTGACTTTAGTCTGGGTCGAGTGTTTTCCGATGCCCAATGTCTCTGAATCTATGAATGAGGAGAAGAGAGAAGGCACCACGGGGTTTGCCGTGGTCCTTGCTCCTTAGCAATGGCTAGGCAGGGGGCGGGACCAGGCCAAGCGGTCTGGGGATGACCGTGAATGCAGTCGGGCACTCTCGCCATCTAGTGGCATGTACACAGAACTGCAGTTCCAGAGGAGCTGGACCAACAAGACAGGGAAAAAGTGGGCCAAAGTCGTTCATTTGGGCAACTTATTGAGCACTCTGTATGAGCCGTTGCCCTGGGGACACAGCACTGAACAAAGCAGGTGCAGCCTCTGGCATTCTCAGTGGGAAGCAGTCAAATATGCATATAATACAATTTAGGTGGAAGAGACACGTTGAAGGTAAATACGCAGGTAAGGAGGGGAGGCAGATGGTGTGATTATGGACGGCCTCTCTGAGGAGCTGCCCTTTGAGCAGAAACCTGAAGAGGGTGGGGACACAGCCATGATGTCTAGGGCAGCGATTCTAAACTCTGGCTGAACATTAGAAGAAGCACCTGGGGAGATAGAAAACACACCAGCAATGCCCAGATGCCACTCCCTTCCCTGAATAATGACATCAGTCTCTCTGAGGTGAGGCTTGGGCATCTGTCTTTTTAAAGCTCCGCAGGTGACCCTAATGGGCAGCCAGAGCTGAGAGCCACTAGCCTTGTTGGGAGAACATCCCAAGACGAAGGAAGAGCAGTTGTAAAAGGCCCAAGGCAGGGACCTGGTGTCTTCCAGGAAGAGAAGGCAGGTCAGTGGGGCCAGAGCGGAGGCCTTTGGGTGGGGGTGGGGCTGATGAGATTAGAGAGGGAAAGTGGTCTGGGGCCACGTGGGAGGTGAGACAGGTGTATCTGGATTGGCTAAGCCTAGCGGGAGTATCTGGTTGACTGAGTCTAAGTAGGATCTGATATGTTTAATTCACTGAGCCTGGGTCCCATCTGGGTTCATCTGATTGGCTGGGTCCCGGTCGCATGCTTACATTCTAAGCACAAGCACAGCTGGAAAGGTGAGATTCAGTTGCTGCTGGAGCAGACTCCTAAGATGGGAAATTGCCAAACAGCATCCACTGCAGAACTATCCAAAGTTTCTGTCAGGTCAGTTGTAGGAAGCAGAATTCACCCAGTTAAAGTCGAAGAGTTTAGTAAGCCCAATGTGTACTGTCAATTTGGCTAGCTGGAAACACATTTCCCAGAATCCCTTTCCTCGACTGGTTCCAAGTTGGAACTGACCAAAAGAGCAACTTGCGTGAGATTTTTGAGGGTGCAAAAGCAGCCACAGCCTCTTCTCTTGCAAGGTTGTTGTGGCTCGCGGTGGTGGCTGACAACCCGCAGGCTCCGGTTGGTCCTTGCTGTCCTCTGCGCTGCATCCAGGTCTTCTTCCTGGTTCTTGGACGTCAGCACCTGGGCCACCCCTGGATGCGTGGCTGCAGTGGCAGTGGTTTTCCATTGAGTTCTCTGCCAGTGCCGCTCCGCAGACTCACTTGGGCGGCTGGTCTGCCTCACGGCTTCTCAGATTGCCCGGTCGGTGGCTCCACAGGCCCCTTTTCAGACCTTCTCTCCCCCAGCTCCTACCACCACTGCGTAAGGTCTAATTCCCATCACAAATTACTTACCCCAAACTCCTGGCCCAGATTTGCTTCCCTGAGTGGATCTGATTCATTCCAGGCAATTTACATACATTGCATCCTAATAACCTGCATTTTGGACAGCTGAGGACATCAGGCCCAGAGAGACCAAGAAAGCTGCCTGAGGTCACACAACTAGTTAGTGGCAGAAGCTGGACTTGAACCCGGTTTGATGACACACAGTGATGCCTGCTCCTAACTATTACTGTATCTTTGTCATTCTTGGAGATGCTTTTTTATAAAAGCCACTCATTCATTCGTTCATTCTTAATTAGGCACCCATTCTTAGCTGAGCAATTTCAGGTGCTAGGGACACAGCGGTAGATCAACAGACAGAGGTAGATATTAGGGTAGTGGTTAAAGCTGGGGATTTCAAACTCTGTTCCTAGGACCAGGCAAGGGAGAGACACCAGCAGAACAGGTTGGGAGGTAAAGTTGATGCAAATATGTTTTCTTTGTAAATTAAACTTGTTAGAATAGATTTGCGCATCGATTTTCACCTTGAAAGATGTAGGTCCCTTGGTTTAGTTTTTGTTTTTCTACTTTTGACAGGAAAAACATTTCTCTACTATGAAAAACTCAGCTGGCCTATGTGATTGATGCTAAATGGTAACTGATGCTTGACTTTGGTGTGTCAGGGGGACAACGGGGTGTGGTGGGGACTGTGGCACATGGCCACGCCTGGAGAGCACCTGCAGCAGCTAAATGGGGTTGTGCAAATGTAGGTCAAGTGTCATCAGATCGTCCACTTCTTTTAAAAAAAGACAAGTTGAAAATTTAGATTTTGAGTTAAATCTCTCATTTTAAATCTCTCGTTTGAAAACATAATGTGAAGAGCACATTAATAAAACTGATCTGTGGGCCAGATCTGGCCTGTGAGCTACCAGTTTGCAACCCTGGGCTGAAGAGCATTAATTTAAGAGTCGAAGATGCTGGGGTGGAGCCTAAGCTGTGCCATCTTTCAGCTGCGAGGTTTTAGGCAAGCCACAACGCCTCTCTGGGCCTTATAAAAACAATATTGTTTGCCAAGCCTTTTTCTAAACTAGTATTTTCCAAACAATGGGTTCTGAAACTGATCTAGTGGATTGTGATCTGTATCCTTTAAAAACAAAACAGAACAAGATGGAAAAAAGGATGCATCAGAGTAATATGGGTAGCCATTGCTGTGTGAAACACATTTAATTCTACACTCACATGACAGACATACACTTATGTGTATGTCTATGTTATACTGGGTGTGTCTATGTTATACTGGGTCTTGATGTAATATGCATTTCCTGTTGAGGAATGCAATCAAAAACAGTTTGAAAGCCACTGTTCTAAGTGTTGCTTATATCGGAATGCCCCCATGCTGTCGACAAATGTGTGAGGTTAATTCTATTGTCATCCCCATTTTACAACTGAAAAGCTGGGGTTCAGAGAGGTGATGTTCCCACAGGTAGTAAAAGGAAGAGCTGGGGTTTGACCCAACACCCACATCTTAACCACCACACTATCCTTCCTCTCCAGACAGGGCATGGGTGGTTGTGAGAATAAAATGAGCTAACGAAGGTCAAGGGCTTAGCCCAGTGCCTGGGACAGAGTAGGTGCTTAATAAATGTTAGAAGCAGGAGTTGTAATTACAGCGTTCATTCAACCACCCCGGGTTGCCTGTAGGACCCCAGGGTCCTGCGTCTCAGATATTCATGGAGTGGCGGGGAGAGGGGGCTGCAAGGACAAAGAGACGCCCCCCCCCCACCTGCAGCCAGAGCCCACCAAATACTCACTTTTTTGCCAAATACTTAATGATGGCATTTTAAAAAGCAGTATTTGGCCAGAGCCGGCTTATCAGCACCCTCAAATGAACTTCTGGATATAAAAATAAATCCCCCTAAATTTCAAACAATTTAAACTATTATTACAATTACATTATTAAAAATGAGAGCAGGCAACTTTTAAAATTGGGCAGAGCACAGGAACCCCACTTTCTGGCCCTGGGGTGCTGGGTTGCTCCCGGGGCCACTACAGTGTCCATTTGCCTCCTGGCATAGACCCTGCTCTCTGGTGGGATCCCCAGTGTGGATGAGGCAGGTCTGCGTATCACTGACGCCTGGGCCCCGTCTGAAGGAGATGCTTGTTGGAATCCTTTCAAGGGCAGCCCTGCATCATTTCCAGGCTTGACTTCAGGTGACACCTGTGGGCAGCCCGGGGCCGGCTGCGGGGTTGCACTGCCCTCTGGTGGTCACCAGGAGTATAGCTGCACCTGTGCTGAGCTGGTACCAGAGGGGCTGAAAGCCCTGTGGGAGGATGGATGGTCCAGCAGCGTTCTCAGCTCAGAGTCTCCTTTACCCAGAATGAGCTGCAGATCCATGCAGCAACCGGAGGCATCTCAGAAACACCAGGCGTGAATGAAGCCAGGCACAGAGGGTACGTCCTGTATGCGTCCATTCATGTGAATTGGATCAGCCCTAACCAGGTGACAGAACCCAGGCGATGGTGGAATGTGGGCAGAGGCTGGGAAGGACCACGAGGGGGCTCTTTTGGGGGCTTGCAAATGTCTTCCATCTTGATCTGGGTGGTGGTCACCCAAATGTAATCATAGGGAAATATACATCAAGATGCGTACTTGTGTTTTGGGCAGTAAACTGTGTGTAGATTATAAAGTAAAATTAGGAAATCCCCTTTAAGTTTATGAGGAATCCCACGACCGTTTGTTTTTGACTGGAACCCTGCCTCCATCCCTCCCCCTCCAAACCGTTCCCTTACAGCAGCCAGAGCGATTTTAAAAAATGTAAATCGATCATGCCACTCTCCTGCTTAAAACTCTCTGGTGTTTTCTCATTGGATTTAGACTAAAATCCAAACTCCAATAAAATCCCAAATCCAAGACCAAAAGGGTCCAACCAGATCTGGTCTTGACCTCTGACCCCTGGCCTGTGACCTGGCCTCGGGCCGCTGCGGCCCCCCTTCTTTCCCTGCATCTGGAAAGCCCCTTCTTGCTCACCTCGACACTGTGCTTCCCGTGCCTCTCCCTGGAATGCTTTCCCCAGCTCTTCTCGTCATCCTGGTCTGAGCTCCAGTGTCACCTCCTCCGAGGTGACCAGCCTGTCCACAGTGCCCCCAAAGCTGTTCCGGTTACCCTACCCTGCATCGCCCCAGTGCCTCTTTCCGGACGCAGCCAGCATCTGAGGTGGAAAGCAGCCTCCATCGCTGACAGAACGAAGACTTTTTTTTTTGGCTTAAGCCAGTTTGAACTGAGAAATTTCTGGAAAGACGAACACATTCAGAAGCCTCAAGGGTGGCAATAAAGTAGTGACACCCTACCCACTTCAAAATGTAAACGTGGTTTTATTTAATGCCTTTTATCTGTCACAAAGTACCGCCTCCTCCCCAGGGTCCCTCTCCCTAGAAAACAAGATGGCAGCATAAGGCACGTGCACTGTCCACAATGTGTCAGGTTAGGTCTTTAACAGCAAAAATGAGCAAAAATGAGCTCTTCCCGAAGGCCCCGAATTGCCTCCCCCACTAACTGTTCAGAGATGATTGTCCCATCGAAGTACAACATGGAGCAGAATGCTTAAGTTAGAACTGTGCACCACCCCACATGCCAGCTTAAAAAACCAAACCAAACCGACGACTAAGAAAACCAACAACACAGGTACGAGAGCATAACACCAGAGTAATGAGATTAGTCCATAAATTAAAAAGAAAAAATAAAACGAGCCTGCCCCCTCCTCAGAACCAGCCCTCCCCCAAATCAGCGATTCCTTGCTTTTGTTCTATGAGTCTTGTAGAAAAGTCTGGACTCCAAGCCAGCCCTTTTCCCCAAAGTTAAATACTCCAGAGCCACGGCTGGGTACTCTGCTTCTCAGGACCCGCGTTTGGGCTGAAAGGACAGCTTCTGAGATGGTCACTGGACATGTCCTCTTGGCGGTAGGGACCCTGCCCAGCGTCCGGCGTCTGGCGGGCGGCGGGAGGGCGAGGGGCCTGGGCGAGTGGATGCGCCTGGGATGGCAGGTGGCGATGCGTGGGTTCTGCTATAGATACTCCAGCTCCAGGGCGTGCCTCAGCGCCTCCAGGTCAGCGTGGCAGGATATCCGCCAGAAAGGCATGTTGTGCTGGAACACAGAACACCACCCACACGGTCACGTCCCCGCCCTGCACCCCTGGCAGCCCCCTGCAGCCCCCCAGATGCCGCACCCATATCAGAGCCTCAGGAGGTGTCAACTCCAGTCAGCAGAGCCTGGGGGCATGTTCCAAACTGGGAGGCACGTGATGTCGTGGGCAACCTCCCCCGCCCCGCCCTGCCCCGTGGCTGGTGCCCACCAGTTTCCATCCCCTCTCTACCTGCTCTGATTGGCTCGTCTTGGGCTGCTCAGTGTGTCCACCACCTGGCCCTCTCCCCTCCCTGGGACCAGTGTGGACCTAAATCACGCAGTGAGAAAGCTATGCCTTTTTAAACATCTGTTCCCAATCCTGCTACTTTAAGAAGCAAGTCTCAGCTTGGTGCTGGTGTGTCTTTAACCGCTCCCCAACATTTGTTAATCTCCATTCGAACAGATAGGGCTGATCCCGGAGAGCGCTGGGCAGCCATAGTGAACTTCTAGAATGGCAGTTTGTTTTCTTTCTGTTTTTATCTTTTCCTTTTCTTTACAGCAGGTGACGCTCGCTCTGTGTTAGTCATGGGATCAAGTTTTCGGTTCTAAATAGAAGTGAGCTGATTGAAAGGAACACAGTATGGAGATAACAGTGTAGGCAGTATGCAGATACAACAGAAGTTGTCACTTGTGTGGAGAGAGGAATCTGGGGACGATTTCTACAGCATGACGGTGAGAAGGAGAGCGCCCTGCCCCAAGCTGTGCTCTACTGTTATTAGCTGGGTGACCTCAGGCAATTTGCTCTGCTGCTTGATGGTAAAATGTGGACAAGATTTGCTGCGTAGGATTGTCGTGGCTCCTCACGGTGCCGGGCAGCACACGTACTAAGTGCTTGATAAGTAGTAGCTGCTGTACGATTGTCGACGGGCACAAGGACATATACGTATAAATGTAAGACAAAGTCACGAAGGATGCAGGGCAACTACGCATGACGGGGGGACGTTTAGGGGGCTTCGGTAGTTTAGAAATAAATAAGACTACGTCATGGAGACAGAAAATTCATTCAGGTTGGCGTAAATACAATGTCGTGGGAGCCGAAAAAAGGAAGCAGCCTCCTTTTTGGGTGGCAGAGAATGGGGCGGGGCTAGGGCAGGTGTCCCAGGGGAGGCGGTGTGCGGGAGCTGAGTCCTGCAGGATGAATGAGGGTTTCGTGGCTGGCGGGTGGTAGAAGAACAACCCCAGGCAGGGCGTCCCTGGGTGAGCCAAGGACACGCAAGGACGCAGAGGGTCGGGCGACGAGAACACAGCCACGTGAAGTGGTGTGTGTGCGTGTGCGCGTGTGCGTGTGTGCGCGTGTGTGCATGTGTGTGTGCGTGCGTGTGCGCGCGCGTGTGTGTATGTGCGTGCGCGTGTGCGTGTGGGGTCAGGGGTGGCGAAAGCCTGGTTGACTCAAGTTCCTGTCGTGCCCGATGCAGGGTTTGGATGTCATCGTGTAAGCCTGCGTAGAACATACACGATGTTTTAAACGGTAATCTTTTAAAGCAACCGTTATTGAGTCAGACACCACGCTAGGTGCTCTGTTTATTACCTCACTGAACCACCAAAACAAACAAAAACCCCAGAATCGAAAAAACAAAACTAAACACATAAACATTTTTTTCAAGCGAGAGAGGAGAGAGAGAACAGAAAGTCGACCTACGCGAAGCGGAATGCGGGGCAGGCCGGGAATGGCTGTGACACAGTCATTGCCACCGAGGGCCTATGACGGGCCATGCGCTGTGTCAACACTTCACATGCCTTACCCCATGTAACCCCCAGGAACCCTCTGAGAGAAGCGCTCTATTTATTTTTCACAGATGAGTCAGAGAGGTCATGTCTGGCTCCAGAGAAGATCACTGACTGCACTTTTATCAGTGGAAAATTTAACCATTGGCTAAAGTCGCTGCTTGCCCAATGGCCATCCTCCCTTCTCCTTGCTTCCGGAACCTTGAATTGGGCGATGCTGTGTGTGCCTAGACGTAGCAGATGAGTTGCGACTGTCTAAGTGAGCTGTGACAACCCAAGCCCCGTTTGCCACGGATTTGTCCTGTATCCTTCCTAACTGGTGACCTGTTGAAGCCAATGAGGAAGTTGGCTAAGGGCTTCTGGAAAAGGTTTTCCTTCATGATTAGAGAGAAGCACCTGAGGTGAAAGTCCTCCTTCATTTCCCTTCCTATTTGGATGCTGTCGTGTTGGAATGTGATACCTGGAGCTGTGGCAGCCGTTTTGAGATCAAACCAGAAAATAAAAAGCCAAAGGTGGTTAGACAGGTAAAGCAAAATGACGGAAAGGGAGGCCCACTGAAACATCTTAGGTACACCTACTTCTAACGTTAGATGCGCAAGTGTTAAGTCATCGTTACGGAGGTTTTCTGCTACCTGCCGCTAAAAGATTCCGAGCCTCCTCAAGACAGTCACTGGCCTTCAGTTACTGAGTGGAGAGATGGTGCTCGAGCATCATGTGGCTGCCCAGAGTTCTCGTGGTAATTCTGCAGCCTGTGAGGTTCTGTGCCCACAGGGCAGGAAGTATAAAGGAGTCCCTTTGCTTCCTGGAGTACCTCAAACCCTTTCCTGCCTCTGGCGGCTCTGCACTTATTACCCTACGCTTTCTGGCATTGTTCGCCTTCACCCTCACTCAGGGTAGGCAGCATAACAGTCCCCCAAAGACATCCACGTCCTAGTCCCTGAGACCTGAGTATACGACCTTACATGGTGAAAGAGGTTTTGCAGATGTTATTAAATGAAGGATCTTGAGGTGGGGAGGTTATCTAGAGGGCAGGGATTTTGTCTGACTGTCCCTTGCTGTGTCCCAAACAGGGCCTTCTGCACAGGTGGCGCACACTCATGGGGCTCTCTGGAGTCAAAGCTAATAAATCCACAGACGAGAAATAAACAAGATAATTTCATCTCATGGTAAGTGCTATGGAGGAAAGAGGATGGGGGGAGGTAGAAGGCAGCTGGAGAGAGGGCTTCTGCTCTTATAGCTGGGCGGGTCATTAGCCCAGGCTCTGGGGAGGGGGTGACATTTTAGCGGGCCTCCCAGGAGGCAGAGCCATGCAACAGGGGGGGAGGCGGTCGAGGCAGAAGGCGAAGACCATGAGTAGGGTTTGAACTTGAAACGTCATGTTCGCTGCTGCAGCGCACGGCTCCTGGCACACAGCAGGTGCTCAGGAAATATTTTGGAAGGAATGGAAAGAGGAGTGGAGGATGAGGGAAGGTGAGTTTCTCAAGCAGAGTCCTCAACAAACATCTTTTTTCCTCTCTCTGTTTTTGCAGACTCTAAACTGCTAGAACCAGCCTTTGCATTGGGAACGTTCTCTTGTGCTCAAGGAAAGCAGAATACTACCCATCATGGGCCACAGACGCCATCTCTCTGAGGCCTTCCAGTTGGCCCGGCTCTCCCGACCCTCTTCTCACCCGGCCAAGCTTTTCCTTCTCCGCGAAGATGGATTCTGGTCGCTGCCTGGCCAATCCTGTCCCCCTTTAAAAAGTGCAATTCGTTTTTCTGGGAGGAAATGAGCAAAGGTGGAAGAGAATGCCCCAGCAGCCTCCATCCCAGGCCTGATGGCTACAGAGTGCAGGTGGGTTGATCACGTGCGGAGAGGTGGAGACAAACGACCCACTAAAATGGAGATATCAACAACACTGTCAGCCGAAACAGTCACAGCCCCTTCTCCCGTCGCCATATTTCACGCTGCTCAGGTGTCTGGCGGCCTGGGCTAATGACTCCCATCCATCGGGCAGGGCTAGCTGCTGGCGCACAGCGTTTCTCACTAATGGGCTGGGCGGCTGCTTCAGATGCCGGCAGAAGTTTTTAGGGGAGCTCGGTGTATGGGGGGCTGCCTTAGTGTTCTTTGGTGGACTCCACTCTCATCTGACCAACTCAGGGGTGTGGACTGACTGTGTTTTAAACTCCGAAGTCCACCCCCTTCCTGCCAGGCGTTTGGGGGCAAAATACGTTATCAGTTTGCACGTAGCAGCGGTGAGACCCTCGGTAAATTATTTAACCTCTCTGAGTCTCTAATCCATCCTCTAGAAAATGAAGTGGAATGACACCCATTTGGCAGAAGGGTTTTGGGGATTAAATACAACGATGACGTCAGTATCCGACAGTAGTGGTTAGGGCATGAGGTTAGCTCGGGCTTCCCTCGGTACCCGTCACGGCCAGTGTGACAGTCTCTGCCAGCTGCCCCCCAACATCTGTCCTCCCTTTCCTTCAGAAGCTCCCATCTTTTTTAGCTGGGCACATGGTGGCTGAGAGCAAAGGCGACATCTCCCAGCTACCTTTGCAGCAAGGCGTGATCATGTGGCTCAAATCCGGCCAATGGAACTTGAGCAGCAGAGACGTCCACCTATTGGCTGTGCCCTTAAAGGGAAGAGGTGTCTTCTCCCTTCCCCTTCCTGGCAGCTGGAGTGTGGGCGTGGGGTGGTGGGGCTTTGTGGAAAGAGCAGTACTGGGCCTGGCAGAGCAACAGGGTGGAAGCGGCCTGGGTCCTTGGTGCTGTTTTGGCAGCTTGTGGGTGTTTTACACGAGAGATGAAACCTCTATTGTTTAAACCGCTGTCTGCTTTCCCTGGCGACCCAAACCCCATCGCACAGAACCTGGGCGGCACTGGGCCGGCTGTGACCCGCTGACCCAGCCCTTACCGGAGCCCACCCATTTGTGCCCTCAGCAACAGCTTCTCCCACGGGCTTTGAGTAAACAAGAGATTTGGGTGGGTTTCCATGTTATGCGTGAATCAGCATTCACATTTTCTTTCTCTGCTGGCTCCACAGGAGAGAGAACCCCCTCTGCCTCTTCCCGCAGCCCCCAGCCCGGGGGAGTAAGAGTACAACAGAGCTTTGGGCTCTGCCCAGTTCCCCTGTGCGTTGCGTCCTATGTGCACACTCTCGGCAGCCAGTGACAGATGAGGAAAGGCAGCTCAGAGAGATGGCGTCACCTGCTGGAGGCCACACAGCGGAAAGTGGCAGAGCGGGGGTTTAGGACAAAATGTGCTCCCCTGGTCACATGTTTCTGTGGGAGCAGGGCTGGCAGCAGGGTGAGGCGAGGGAGGTGCCGAGGACACAGAGTTTAAGGAGGCAGTTCCCTGCGGTCCCCCTCCTCCTGGCCCTAGACCAGCAGTTCTCAAAGGAGAAGAAGTCTGCCCCCTGGAGGTCACTGTGGTAATTTCCAGATGCGTGGTTTTTGACTGTCACGATGATTTGGGGGCATTGCACGTGTGGGCAGGTGTCCTGCCTCATCCCACACACCTTAGACCCGAACAATTTTCGAATGTGCTGTCAGATATTCAAGTAAGTACAAACCCCGATCTGAATACCCTGAACCTGGACTCTTAACTCCACTTTACATGTCACATGCGGACATGTGCACGCTTTTGCCGAAACCTGAATTTTCCAGGGATGCAACTACCGGGTAAACCGAGGGAAACCTGTGTTTTATCAGAACTTTCCCCGAGCTGCTTAGCAGTTTGGAGAAACTGGGTTACGGCCGCAGCACCTCACCTGGCTCACGAACGGTCGAGGCTGCTCACCTGAGTCCGTCTGCGTTCGCTGGGTCACAACCACAGCAACAGCAGTTCGGGTGCAGGTATTAGAATTCTGCGCCAAACATCAACATGTCGAAGCCCACGTTCTTCTGCGTGTAAATGACTTTTTCTGATAGTACCATGGATTCCGATCTTTCGGACAACGTGGTGATAAATAGTCCAAATGAAACAATAGTGTTTCATTCCAGGACAATAAAGGGGTCATTTTAAAACATTTGCTCCTTCTCCAACTGGGGAGAAGGAAGCAACTGCTCATAGATGTCCCTGCCATTCTCCAGGTGAGAAACAGGGCAGGTACAGGCGCCCGGGGCCACGGGCCTAAGCCGTCCTCCAATCCACCTCTGATGGAAGCAAAGCTTGGTTTGAGCGCTGTCATGTGCTCAGGGCACAGTTGGGGCTGTATCTGAACTTGAAGGGGGAAGAAGGCTCCGGACGCCCCTGGGCCCAGCAGGGGCTTTAGCCAGTAACGTCGGACCTGAGCTCTCGCCCTGGAGCGGCGCTTCACGTGACGATCCATGTGATTCGTGCTGCCGTTTTGGCCACATCCCTGTGTGTCACCTCTGTTACTATCATTTACTTAATGTTTTTTTTTACTCTAAATCAATTTATTTTTAAAGTTAAAAAAATATGCTTTAAGGAGAAGTGCTCAGAGTAAAGCTGAAGTCTGCCCGAGGGCCCGGCTACCTCCTTGGCCTTGCCTCCCAAAGGGCTGAAGGCCGGAGCTCCCCGCCACTCCCCGCCAGCTCTGGGGCCACGCTGGCTCCCTGCAGGATGCTCCGGCCTTCAGACTTTGACCTTCTTGGTTTCTTTCTCCGACTGCCCTCCTTCTGATATCAGCTGGGCTCCCTCTCCCTTCTCCCCCGTCTTTGCTCAGATGTCACCTCTCAGCGAGGCGTGTGTGACTATTACCTACACTCGCATCTTGCCCCACCCACCGAGTCCCCTCTGTTCCCATTCTCGGCTTTTTTCTCCCCAAAGCTCTGCTCGCCACCTGACATGCATGTTACACTTAGGTGTTTATTGCCTGTCCCAGGCTGGGAGCTGAGTAAAGGGTGAGAGCTCTCTCTGTTCTGCTCACTGTGGGATCCCCAGTGCCTGCAACAGTGGCAGGCACACAGTAGGTACTCAAGCCACCAATCACACCGGTAAAGCTCATGACGAGAGGGGGCAACATCCTGAAGAAAGAGTAAGGACAGCCGGGGGAGGGAGTCACAGGCCGGGGGAGGGAGTCACAGGCTGGCCAAGCCAGCGGGAAGGTTAGAGTGGGAGCTGGTCAGGAAACGGCCCAGCAGGTGTTGCTGAAGCTGTGGCCTGAAGGATGAGCCGGGGAAAGGGGAGGAGCCTTCCAGGGGATGGAACAGTATATGCGAAGCCTTCTGAGCTCCCCTCTCCCGAGCCCCATGCTCAGGAGCCTCGCGCCCTTCCCTCTTCTTGTGGGTTTCATCTGCTGAGACCCTCAGCGTTTCTGCATTTCCTTGGAATTTGCTGCTGGGAAGGGGGAAACCAGGTCCCCCCAATTAAGCTCTGTGACATTAACAATGCACTTCCCAGGCCTCTGGGCGGGGGGGTGGCAGGCTCTCTGGGATGCTGTTGACAGGTCCAGACCCACGACTCTGGCAGCTGTTTCTTTTCCAGGAACAGAGCTGCGGCCACCAGAACCCCCGGCCCTCTCCTCGTGGGCCTGAGCTCGCAAATGCAGGACTTCTTTTTCATTAGCTTAATGCTGTCTTTATTAACTGGGAAGGGTTCCTGGAACATCTGATCGGGGAGTATTAAATAAAACACACACACGTGCACCAGCCCTCCCACTGGCCTGCCCTGACACAGGTCTCTGGGCTCCCAGAGCACTTGTCCCAGAAACAATCCAGGGCGACCAGGGGTGGCAGCCAAACGCATGGAGGGGGATTTGCAAAAGGAAATTGCTCAGGATGCTTCTGTGATGTGCAAATGGGAATGGACCTGCGAGCAAAGGGCCTGGGGAGACGCGACCCAGACAGCCACGGGAGGTGGGGGCATCTGTGTACAGAGCCCTTGAAAACCGCGAGGTGACTCAGGAGAGGAGGAAAAGCAGCCTGAGAGATGGAAGAAGTACCTTTTTCGCTCCCTGTTCCTCTTCGACCCCGTCCCCGATGACGATGTAGACGGCTTTCCGGCCGAATCTCTGCATTATCCTCTCGAAGCAGCTCTCCTTCCCTGCACACGCAGAAGGAAGGAAAGAAAAGCAGCTCGGTGAGGACCAGGAGCATGGTGAAGGATGACCGCTAACTGAGCGTCTGCTGTGTGCAGCCTTCCTAAGGGGCAGGTATTAATCATTTCACCCTCCAGCAAATATTTGAGATGTGCCCTGTAATCATCCCCATGTGACAGATGACAATACAGAGGCGCAGAGAATTTAAGGGGCCTGTCCAGGGTGACACAGCAAAAGAGGCAGCAGTGCAGGGGTTTGAAGCAGGCTCTGGAGTCTATGCAGCTGTCTGGGGCAGGAGTGACGGACCCATTTTACAGATGGGGTTCTGAGTGGTGAAGTGATTTGCCCAGGATCCCAGAGTTAAGAAGCAGAGGCGCCGGTGGTGCTCACAGGTCCATCTCTTGACAACCACCTCTTCATATTCTCCCAGTGTCTGAGCAGCAGCATAAATCCAGACTCACTGGATTCAGATCTTAGTTCCTCCTGATCATGGCAGCAAGTTTAGTAACCATAACAATAACGGAAAGAGCAATAATAACAATAATAATCGTTGTCACTCTACATAGGCTCTCTGCTAAGCTCTTCACCTACATCGAGATTTCTCCGCCTGGGTGTTACTGCCATGTTGGGCCGGATGATTCTTTGCTGTGGGCGCTGCTCTGAGCCTGCAGGATGTTTAGCACATCCCTGGTCTCTACCCACTAGATGCCAGTAACACCTCTTCCAGTTGTGAAAATGAAAAACCTCTCCAGATGTTCCCAAATGTCCCCTAGGATGACAAACTGTACCGCCCCCGCATGTTGGGAACCACTGACTCACATTTTTCATTTAACTAGCACAGCAATCTTTATGAAATTGGAATCAACATAATCCCTGTTTAAGAGGTAAAGAAACTGAGGTTTCTGTGCTCACGGTCACTCAGCTATGGACTACATTTCCCAGCTTCCCTTGCAACTAGTTGCGGCCACAGATTAAGATGGGCCAAAGGGAGGTGAGCAGACTGCAGTGCATCCCTTCTGAGTCTTTGTTTTAAAATACTGGATGCGCATTACAGCTTCATCTTTCCCTCCTTCCCACAAGCTGGACGCCGATGTTGCAGGACCCTGACTTGACTACTTACATGAGAATAAAACCATAGGGGATGGTGGAATAATAAAACGGGAAGGACCTGGGTTCCTGGGTGAGTATGAGGGCAGGATCACCCCACCAGCCTGGATCGCTCACCTCTGGTCTGTTGACATGCGAGAGAGAAATAAGCTTTGACTCTGATGTAAGCATTTGGGGTGTGTTTGTTAGAGCAGCTTTGCAGGTATCCACACCAATACACGCACTTCGGAAAGCTGAGGTCCTAACCCATTTCTCTAGAAGCAGAAGTTCAAGCACGTGGGTTGTGAGGGTTGCTTTGGGGATGTGAGTCACGAACGTGGACAAGTTCTTGAACTTCCCTAGTACCGTTTCCCATAAACTTTCCATTCCCCGGATGGACCGCTAACCTCACCCTCCCACCCCGCATCACCGAGGTCTGGGTTCCCCCTACCTGTCTTGGTTGCACTGTAGATATTCTCAATAGGAAACACGGAGCCCAGCCCATACAGCAGGACTTTGGCCAGGGCAGGAATTAGTTGAGTGGTGGTGACCAGCACATTGACACAGTTTGGCCTGAGGACAAAAGAGACCGTGGATTAGAACTTCAAGGGACCACTAGGCCACGCTTCCTCACCCTGGAGCATGAGCCTGGAGCCTGTGAGAATTCTGATGGGGTTTGGAGGCCGTGGCTAAGTCATCTTCAGGTGAGGGTAGGGCCCAAGGAATCTTCAGCTGTTTTTCTCTTTTAAGCCTGAAGCTGCCTGACATGTTGAAATGTCATATAAGTGTAATACTTATTTAAAAAGCAAATGTTTGTTGCAAGGGCTACACCCTTAAACAGTGGCAGGGGCCTATCCATAATGTAAATGAGTGATATGAAACAAGTGTAGGACAATAGGGAGAGGTGGGGCCTGGGGTAAACTAGTGGGGCCATGCCAGTTCTGAGAGTTTGAGAGAACCCAGAGACCTGGAGCTAAGGATTAACTTTTCCAGTCTTCGGGACAAAGTGTGTATCCATCCAACAAGACACACCGGTAGCACAGATGCAGCTCTTGAGCTGCCATATTTTAACCATTCGTATGTAGGGGCACCAGATTTTTCTGATGCTAGTGCAGGGGAGTAATTTGTTTTCTGGCCCAGATATCTCATTTAAGAGCAAAAGGCACTTTATTGGGAAGGCCTTGAATGAAACTGGACCCTCCTTAACTCACTGGATTCCCACCAAATGACTACATTCCTGTAGATTGTAAATAGGTTTTCAGAGGACCATGCTGTGACTGGCAGGTGGACAGGACAAGATGGACCCACGTACAAAGGTCTTTAGCTCTGCTGGGCCCTGATATCTCACAGCAGCTATCTGCTGTGGCACAAGGTGTCCACGGTGCCTTGCGTACCTCAGCTTTACCAAATGTCTGGAAAGTGTGCAAGTGAGAATTTCGACAGTCCTATCCCCCAAGTGTGGGAATGGAGGAGGCACCACCCTTGAATGGGAAAGAGCTCAGTGGCATGAGGGAAGACGAGGGCCCCCGCGTACCGGGAATTGATGAGGTTTAGTGCCTTCAGGGAGTGGGTCAGCCAGAGGTCGGTCAGAGCTTCCAGCTCAGCTCTGAGCTGTAGCCAGGTCTCTCTTTTGGGAGCGCCTATCAAGCCTACGGACACAGAAAATAAAGATGGGGAAGGTGTCATTTCAGAAAGGGTCGAGAGAGGGTGGGGATAGGGAAAGGGAGTCTAGCTACCATACCTTGAGGTTTCAAATCAGATGCTATGCAAGGTCAACTTCAATCCAGTGATCTTAATCTCACTTTGGGACTGATTGATTGATCGATCAATACATCCACTGACTGATCCGTTCATCCACTCATCATCCACCCATCCATCCTTCCATCATCCATCCATCCACCCATCCAACCATCCATCCACCCATCATCCATCCACCCATTCATCATCCATCCACCCATTCATCATCCATCCAAAAAAATTCAGAAGTGCCTTCTGCATGGTCAATATTCTAATAGGCACTGAATAGACAGAGATAAACAAAACATGCCAATTATAGCACTTACACTGTTACAATGGAGATAAAAATTAATAAAAAGCAATAAAGAGTAACATTTCTTGAGTGCTTACTGTATGTAGGGCCCTGTGCTTTTAACATGACTTATTTAACTTCATTCCCACAGTGACCTTAGAGTTTTCTTTCTTTTTTTAACATTGAGGTAAAATTGACATGTGATATTAGGTTAGTCGGGTAAGGAAACTGAGGCTTTGTGAGGCTTTGTGACTTGCTCGCAGTAGAGAGGAAGTTATGGAGACAGGTTTGGCGCCGAGGCAGCGAACCTCCAGAGCCCACGCTATGATGTTTCTAAACCCGACCGTCATTCTCCAGGCCGTCAGGGCCCTTAAGATAAGGTTTGGACTCGATACCCATGACCCTGCCCCTACTTAGTTGCCAGTATCATCTCTTGACATGGCCCTGATGTCCTTCCATTCCAGCCCTAGTGGCCTCCTCTTTATTCCTTGTCCCCTTTTCGCCTGGCTAAATTCTTCACACTCATAAATGTCATTTATTCTGAAGGTCTATCCTGGTCAGTTCCTTTTATTTTACACTCTCTCAACGTACGATATGTCTTCATAGCACTTCTTACAACTATAATTTAAAATGTATCTGTGTAATTATGTGTTTGATGTCTGCCTTGGTCACGAGACTGTTTGCTCTTCGGCGGCAGGGACCAAGGTGGTCTTGTTCACTACCAAAGCCTCAGCCCGCGTAGCAGGGGCTGGCGTATGGCTGGCGCTGGATCGGTGTTTGCCGAAGGAAGAACGGGTTCACTGGGACGAAGTGCTATGTCGTGCCCGTGCTACTTGGACGTCATCTTTCCCGCACAGAAGACCCGAGCTGTCCCAACCCCTGCCCGTGGCCTGCGAGGCCCCGCACCATCTGGACTCCGCCAGCTCTCTCGTCCCATCCCTTACTTTGTGCCCCTCACTCCAGCCACGCTGGCCTTCTTTATCCTCCAGAAAAGCATCAAACTCCTCTGTTCTTGGGGCTTTTCATTTCCTCTTTGTGGTAGACCCTGCTAGGGGCCTTCCACTATCCATGTTTCTCTTTAGTAATTAATAAAAATAAAAGTATAAAATAAACCTTCTCAGTAATAAGGCCCCTGAGTGTTGGCTGAGTACATACATGGCTGCCGGGCTGAAAGGCTACATTCCTCAGGCTCCGTCTTGGCCGTCCCCAGGCTGGTTCTGTGAGGCAGAAACAGCTGGGGAAGGTGCGGGGAGGAGGGAGCAGAGGCTGCAAGGGGGAGAGGAAGGAGTTTGGCTGCCACTGGCATCCTGCCAGCTGTGAGCTCCCTGCCTGTTGACACATCGGGTAATTTCCCCTCAGTTTATGGGAAGGAAAACAGCCTGACAGAAGCCCTGGGCATTTCCTGGGGCTTAACGTGGGTGAGGAGCAGATGACAGCCATTGGCTGACTCTATTCCTGTCTCCCCTACCCCAAGCACACCTGCTCCCCACCTTTCTCCATGGAAGGGTGGGTGAGCAAGCAGAGTTGACCCCGAAGCTCTCTGCTCCACTCCTGCGGTCCACAGAGTGGGATATGAGAGGCCATGGAGGTGGTAGAGCGGCCAGTCTGGGACTCCACCGTCCTCTGCTGCCCGGCTGAGTGATGCTGGGCAGGTTACTTAACCTCTCTGACCTCGTTTCCACCTTCACACACCATGGGCGATAAAAGCACTTACCGTACAGGCATGTTTTAAAGAGCAAACAAGCTATTAGATGAAAAGCCCTTAAAACAGAGTCTGGCATAGAGTAAGCACTCAGTAAACATTAGCTATTGCCAGGGCTGCATTAGGACCGCAGCCACACGCACGATTGAAAACCTGTCCTGATGGGCTGTCAGGGAAAGCAGGAGACACAGCAGAGCCTGCAAGACTTCCCAGAAAACTGAAAGTAACTGGTGATAACGGCTGCCATTTACTGAGCGCCTGCTTATACGAGGCGTGGAGATAGGCCTTGTGCATGCATTAACAAGAAACCTCACCACGATCCAGGCAAGTATCTCGTAGACCTAGAAACTGTGGCTCACACGGCTTATGTATCTTGCTAAAAGTCACATAGCTAGAAAGTGGCAGCCCTGGGACTGGAAGTGGATTCCATCCAGTTCGAGACCCTAAATTCTACTCTTCCTGGGGGTCAGGGGAGGGAGCCCTCGAAGCTTTTGGGGCCAAAGTGGATATGGCAGATACTATTAGCTGCTTACTCAAACCTTTTCCCTTTACGGGCCAGTAGCTGGTTTCACATACTGGGACCATCAAAACACCCCGAAATGCCTCCCATCAAGAACTAATGGCCTGGAGAAACAGCGATCTAGGGTCTGGCTGCTGCTGAGCCAACCCTGTCTCCAGCCCCTTCCAGATTTCTGGTTCGGTGCCAGAAAACAACGCCCTCCTGCTACCGACACTGGTGGCTGTCACCTCGGCTGCATATCAGAATCACCCAGGGAGCTCCATGTACTGACACCCAGGCCACAGAAAGACCAAGAAAATCAGATCAGAGATTCCTGAGCGGGCACCAATATGAGCCAAGTTTGAGAACCAGTGGCTTTTAGTGCTTCTTCAACTTCACTGTTTCCCCCGATTCCCTGGGGGTCTTGGCATCTACCAGGCACCGAGGTGATGCTCAGGCAGCTGGTCCGCGGACCACAGTCTGAGCAGCGAGGGCTGAAGCGTCTGGTCCCCAGACTCGAGCAAGCATCAGAATCACCCGGATGGGTGTTCGAACACAGATGGCCGGGCCACCCCAGCGCTTCAGACTCGATAGGTCCGAGGTGGAGCTAGAGAACCTACATTTCTAACAGGTCTCCAGGTGATGCTGATGCTGCTGGTCTGAAGACCACACCTGGAGAACCCCTGGTTGTGATTTAGACATGGGAGGGCCCACCCCATGCGCACTCCCCACTGGTGGGTCGTGTAGCATTTCGTAAGGTGCTCTATCAATTCTTCAGCTTCCTACCCCCAAAGTGATGAAATACTAGTGTCCTCTTCCAGAGAATGTCCTGAGGATGTCACCGCGTGAGCTGGTATCACCAACCCTCTCAGAACAGTGCCCGGCATGGAGCAGGTGCGACTTAAGCGACCGCGTCCATCCCTGAGGAATGTCCCTTGGTCCAGGCAGCAGCCTGAGCTCGGCCAGCCCCGTGGCCACCGTGGACGACCCTCTCCT